AGCCTTTCTCTCTTTCCTCTCTTTTCTCTCTTCCTCTTTCCTCTCCTACTTCTTGCTGTTTACTTTACAGTCAACGAACAAGACAGAATTCTAGGGCAGGTCAAACTTTAACACAGATGATATTATTTGTTTCGTGAGGGGAAAGCAGAACTTATGAACCTAAAAAGGATAGTACATAAATTGAGAGGATATCCAACCCTAAAGTAAATTGGGGCAAGAGCTGCGGGGCAGGAGTAAATTTAGGGAGTGAAGAGGTGGATCTGCTAGCTAGATTGTTGGGATGTGAAGTAGGGAATTGGCCATTACAATATTTGGAACTACCACCGGGAGGAATCCAAATACAAATAGCTTCTGGTATCTAGTGATTGAGAGATTTACAAAGCAACTTGCAAATTGGAAGAGAAACTATATTTCCCTAGGAGGTAGGATAACCTTAATTAAGTCAACATTGGCAAACTTACCCATGTATTTCCTATCTACCTTTAGGATATTAGTGAAAGTGGCAAACCAGCTAGAGAAGATTATGAGGAACTTCCTTTAGGAACCAGGAGACACCAGAAAAAGGCAACCTAGTGAAGTGGGAGGTGGTTTCTAAAGTAGAGATGGAGGCCTAGGAATAAGAAACATTAGACTAAGAAACATAACATTGTTGGGGAAATGGTTATGGAGATTGCCGTTGGGACATGATAGACTTTGGCATAGAGTAACTGTTAGCATTCATGGATTGGCAAACAATGTTTGGAATGCGGGAGTCGACCCTAGGGCTTCTCGATGTTCTCCTTGGAAAGCTATTCATGGTATACTGCCTTCCATCCTTCCTTACTTCAAATTTGATGCTTGTGCAAGAAGCGAAGTGTTGTTTTGGGAAGATGTTTAGGTTGGAGAGATTCCCCTCAGTGATAGGTTCCCTACTATTTATTCACCATTAGAAAATAAAAGAAGAGTGATCTCTTCAGTTTTTTACTGATAATTCATGGAACTTGGGATTGAGGAGAGGTCTAAAGGAGTTGGAAATGGTGATGTTGGATGAACTAGTTACTCTTTTAGGGTTGAACTATCTGGATCAATCTTGGACAGTAGAGTTTGGAAACCTTCCCCATATGATGTGTTCACTTGTTCCTCTTTCTTTGATGTCCTCCTTCAATCAGCTAACCTTACAAGGAACTTTCCTCCAAAAATTTAGGATTTTTGCTAGGAGGTGGTTCTACAAAAATTCAATATTTTGGATGTGTTGCAAAGAAAAAGGCCAAAATTTTGCCTTTCACCCCATGTTTGTAGCCTCTACTTGAGTTCTGGTGAGACAATCACACACTTATTAATCTGTTGTCCATTTGTGTGCTTTATTTGGTCTTGGTTCTCTTCTATCTTTGGTTGTAGGTGAACACCTCCCCTGGCTGTGGTAAGCCTATTTGATCCAAGCTTTTTTAGGCAACTGAAGAGGCGTGGAAGATTAATGTGGAGAGCCACAAGAGCAGTTCTCTCTTGGTCAGTCTGGGAAGAAAGAAACAATAGGATCTTTAAAGGAGTGGAGAAATCCAAGGAATAACCATTATGACTATTCAATGGTTGAAAACATTGGATTTGTTTAAAGATTTCTCAGCCGGGGACATATATTGGGAATTAGGGAGTGGTGGCAACTACAACTTTCATAAAACCTATTGTGCTGGAATTCTGGTCCCCACCAACACAACAAAGAGTGAATCTGAACTTTGATGGGAGCTCTAGAGGTAACCCGGGCCCTTTAGGTATAGGAGTATTTAGAGATGGATTTTAGAATTGTGGCTTTGTTTTCGGGTCCAATAGGAGTGGGGGACTCATTTGAGAGTGGAGGTGATGGCTTTGCTTCAAGGTGTAAGATATGCCAAACAATTGGGGTTACACCAAGTTGAGATAGAGGGAGACTCTAAATTGTTAATTGATTGGTTGCAATCAGGCAAGTTGGGAGCCTGAATTTATAGACAACCCATAAGGGAAATCCTCAATATAACAAGGGAGATTGATGCTTGCTTCAAATGGACAAGAAGATCAGATAATGGTTTAGCTAATACGCTAGCTAAACAAGGGACTGTGAGGGAGAGTATGTTATAGGCAGTTTTGTAATAAAGATTACTTGGGGTTCAACACCCTATTTTTTAGGGGTTGACAGTTGTATTTTAATTTTGTATTAATGAAGTTACAGTTTTCAATAAAAAATCAGTAATTGCTAATATCATTATCAACCCTGTCTCTACACAGTCATATTGTTATTGGATAAATACTTAAGCTGTTTAGTTCATCCATGTTTGGTTTGATTTGATTTTTTTACTTTTTATTTACATGTAGTAATATGTTATTGGCATTTATTAGGTCAGGTCATGGATGGAAGAAATGCTTCCTGGTGTTAACAACCACATATTTTCCTACATTATTGGACTTGATAGCCTGAAGGCAACCAATATCAGTGATGACACTTCATTGAGGAGAGATAGTGCAGATGTAAGGCTACGGATGGATGGATTGTTTGATCTGAAGGAACATGCACTTCATTTTATGAAAGAGTTCACAGCCTTGTACACAAATGGACCAGCTGGTGGGGGTGGAATCAGGTTGGTTATTTTATCAATTCATGCAAATATATCTTCACATTGGGTCCATGAGCCATGTCATATGAGAAAACTGTGATGACGGGAAGGGTGTCCTACAACTAGTAGACAATGGTATGCTGAATGGTGGGGAGCTAGGGCTCATATATGAGAAAGGGGTTCAAATCTAGATGGGTAAGGAAGAAGAGATCAATTGATTATAGGGGAATTTTTCATGTTTGAAATATAAAAAATGGTTACAACAATTTTTTGTAGCATAGCAAAATGGAAAAACAGGACTCGTGTAACTGACTCCATATAATTGGGACAAGGCTTAGATGATATGAAGATGAAATGTAACAAAAAAGTTTCTGTAAATTAATTAAATAGTTACAAAAAATTTTGGACAGCAACTACAGAAGAAGAGAGATGATTTAGAAAAAAAATCAGAGATTGCAGCAGAGATGAGTTGCAGAAAAAAACATAGTTGTCAAAGTGCTAAGGATAGGCTGGGAAAGGGGAGGGTGTTTGTCACTTAGAAATGGTCCAGTCAATGATGTTTTATACAAGGAGCCCTGGTTAAGTAACAAACAAACATAACATTAAGAATAAAATAAAAGCAACATCATATAGCCTATGGCAAAAAACCTGGTGGAGCCTTATTCTATTAATGTGAGGAGATATAGAGAGGATATCTGTGTTTGTTTGTGTCATAAAGCACAGAGTAGGAAAAGAAAAACCAAATTAAGAGTGAAAGTGTTCAGCCGAACAGAGAAGAGAAGAGAGAGAAAGAAGAAAGAAGAAGAAGAAGAAGAAGAGGAAGAAGAGGGAGAGAAAGTGTTGAACTAGTTAGACTCTTCATCTAACCAGTCGACCATATACTTGCATTTGGAATTATAAGATACTAAAGACTGAAATGCCCCTGCATGTGAGGAGACATACAATCAACATAATACATAAAGTTTAAAGACGAAAATACCCTTTTCTAACTGACTCTAACACTCCCCCTCAAGCTGGAGAATATATATCATATAATCCCAACTTGTTACATATGTAGCTCACTCTCCCTGAACTCAACCCTTTTGTGAACAGATCTGCCCATTGATCACCTGTTCTCACATGCTCTGTCTTGATCACACCATTGATGACCTTTTCCCTTACAAGGTGACAATCTACCTCTATGTGTTTAGTTCTCTCATGGAAAACTGGGTTGGATGAGATGTGAATTACAATCTGATTGTCATAATATAGCTTCATGAGTTTGCTTACTGAGAACCTGATTTCCTACAATAGATTCTTCAACCACACTAGTTTACATGCAGTGTGTGCCATGGCCCTGTATTCTGCTTCTGCACTGCTTCTTGCTACCACTGTCTGCTTCTTGCTCTTCCAAGTCACAAGATTTCCTCCAAGAAAGGTGCAATAACCTGTGGTGGATCTTCTGTCTGATACAGATCCAGCCTAGTCTGCGTCAGTGTATCTAACTATTTCAAGATTACCCCCTGGATTATACAGTAACTCACGACCTGGAGCCCCTTTCAAATACCGCACAATCCTAAGAACTGCATCCCAGTGAGGTACCCGAGGACTCTACATAAGCTGACTTACCATACTGACAACATATGAGATATCAAGCCTAGTGATAGTTAGGTAATTCAGTTTTCCCACTAGCCTTCTATACCTTCCAGGATTATCAAACAATTCACCTGTGTCACTTCCCAACTTCACATTCAGCTCCATGGGGGTTTCAGCTGGTTTAGCACCAAGTAACCCTGTTTCTTCCAACAGATCAAGTACATATTTCCGCTAACAGAGGTTTATGCCCTGCTTTGATCTTGCAACTTCTATACCTAGGAAATACTTCGACTTTCCAAGATCTTTTGTTTGAAAGTGATCTTGTAGGAAGGTCTTCAATCTGTCAATCCCAACTCTATCACTGCCAGTTATGACTATGCCATCTGAAGAAATCTGAAGAGAGGAGAGCTTGAGAGTTCGGCAATGAGGGTTTGAGAATGAGAGTTTCGAACCTACTCTCTCTCAACACCCTAACACTATTTTATTAAGATAGATTTGAATAATTACAAGGAGGCCCTTAGTTGGGCAAGAAATTACAAAGAACTTAATATAGACAGGATGGGCCTAGAATAA